AAAAATTAAAAAAAATTAAAAAAAAGAAGATTCATATGAAGTTATCACATAAATGTCCTTGCAAAATTTTTGTCAAGGTGTGCGAGAACTGGTAAGTAAGGCAATAGCAATGGCAGTTAGACTTATATACCGCTTCATAGGGCTTTCAGCCCTCTCTAAGTGGTTTACAGAGTCAGCATATTGCCCCCAACAACAATCCGGGTCCTCATTTTACCCACCTCGGAAGGATGGAAGGCTGAGTCAACTCTGAAGGCAGCTCCCATTCCCACCCTAGCTTATTTTTTACTTGTGTGTCTCACCCCACCCCCTGCACCCCAGGGGGTGGGTGGGATCTTAATTAGGGCTAATTTTGTGGGTGGGGCTTAATTTGATCGCATGTGCTCAAAAAGGTGATAGGGCTTATTTTCAAGGTGGGTCGTCTTTTTTGGAAAACACAGTAGATGAAATTGAGTGAAAAGAGCTCTTCTTTCTCATGAGGTTTATGTATAAAAGAGGGGAAGTCTTCTTTTTTGTGAAGGAGAGGCAGCCTGCACTTACTGGCTTTTTGGAAACAACTTATAAAACTGAGAAACATTTTTACAATAAGTACATTGATGTGCATCTCCACCTGTCTCTCTTCTAAGCAGCTCCCAGAGCAGCAAATCCCACTAGTCCATCAATCCCCTTAGACCCCCCCTTCCCTCCCATCAGCCACTGCCAATGTCTCAGATAACATTGCCCCCAATATCCCAAGTGTCTTCTTTTTTCTCCTGTCCTTTAGCCTGTCACCCACTGCAACCACTGTCAGAGCAGTTGTCAGATCTTTGCTAGCTGCCTGAACTGAGGGATTTTCTTTCCCAAATACTAATTATTGTGTTTTTTCCAAGCTTTATTCAGATGAAAGCAGCAGTGATATGTGAATTCCAACAAGTGAATTAATTATCTTCAGTTTAGAATCAATATCTCTGTGTATATTAGGACAAAGACTTCCTGTGTCATTTTTTCTTTACTTTCTGTACACAGGGAGGAGACAAGTCTCTTCTGCAGCCATTCTTGCCAGTCAAGAGGAGCAATAATTTTAATTTACTCTGCTTTGATCAGACTCAACTTCAAATACTGTATCCTTCTGGCACTTCAGTTTCAGAAGGATTCAGAGAAGGACATGGGGATGAAAAGAGGATGAGACATAAATCCTATGACGAGAAATTGAATGAATCGTGATTGTTTAGCTTTGAGAAAAGTGAGAGATTACAATACCTGAAGAACCTGAAAGCAGGACACACAAAATACTGTAATGTTAACTTACAAGTAGGAGGACTCTAGTGGAGTTGTTAGAAAAGCTTTGCAACAGTAGGAGGTGTTAATCACCCAGAGAGATGCTAAACCCCCTTCCCATGATGTATTTAAGCAGAAATTGATAGTTTTCTATTTTACTGTATATGCCTTTTGGAATTTTGCAACAAACAAGGGCTTGGACTCCGTGGCTTTGAAACTCTTTACTGTAAGTATATTATTCCACAATGGTTTATATATTTGTTTTCATAATAGCCTATTTCATCTCAAAGAGTGATCTACCTCTACCTCTTGGCTTTCAGGAAGTCTTAGAACCTGCTCTGCCAAATGGCCTGGAGTCTTGATGGGGATGTGCCACGCTTGAGATGGCTAGTGGATTAAGAGACAATTCTACTTCCACCATTTTGTATATCACTTGCTTCCTTAGCCATCTTTATTAATTTTATTTTCAACATTTATAATTTTAATGTTTTGATGTTGCTGTAAGCTGCCTTGAAGAGACGGGCAGCATATAAATGTAACAAATAAATAAAGTTATCACAATTCTAAAACTGATATTTATTAAGAAGCATGATTGGTCTACTGTTTAGGGCAGGGGTCACCAATCTTTCAGACCTCAGACTAAATTAATAATTTTAAATCCCGCGGACCACTAATATGAATTTTTAAAAAGATAAATAGTATTTAGTGCAATATAAAAAAAATGCAAATAATTTTTCTGTGGACCACCAAAATTTTCTCATGGACCACCAGTAGTCCATGGACCACCAGTTGGTGACCGCTGGTTTAGGGTACCAGATTAGAAACCAGGAGACTTTGAGTTCTAGCCCTGCCTCAGGCATGAAAAACGGCAGGGTGAGTTTGGGCCAGCCACTCTCTTACACCAATTCACCTCACAGGTTTGATATTAATGTAAAAATAGAAGAAATGTGTATTAGGTATGCTTGCCACCTCCAGTTATTTTCAGTTAGTAGCTATGATACTAAGCAAATAGCCATTTCTAAAACATCTGTACATATCTCTCATTTCTACCGGAATCTAGATGTAGTCTAGATTCCTGAACAGAAAAATGAAATTGGACTCAGTCTCACAAGTTCAGGTGGGAATTCAGTCACCAAATGCCTTAGAATGTCCTAAACAGCTTTCAGTTATGGTTCAGGTATGGCAAGGAACAGGCACAGAACTGATAATATTCGTGGCACGACAAAACCGCGGTCCACTAAAGCGCGCCCAATTAAAGCGCGTCGCTGACGTCATCAGCAGCGCGACAACAGAGACTGCGGAGAAAAAAGAGCGCTTTAAAAAGCGCTTTGAAAGCAAGTCGATTCACGTTAAGGTAAGGGTTAGGTTTAGGGTTAGGGTTAGGTTAAGGGTTAGGGTTAGGTTAAGCGTTAGGGTTAGGTTTAGGGTTAGGTTAAGGGTTAGCGTTAGGTTAAGGGTTAGGTTAAGGGTTAGGTTTAGGGTTAGGTTTCGGGGGGTTAGGTTTAGGTGTTAATTTTAGCTTTAGCGCTCACAGCGTGCTTTTTTCGTCGCGCTGTGATGACGTCAGGTACGCGGTTTCGTCGAGCGCGCTTTAGTCGACCGCGGTTTTGTGGTGGAACCATAATATTGGGGGATGAGCTCCAGGAGAACTTGTACTGTAAAGCTTTTGGCCCTATTGGATATCTCAGTAGCCTTCAATTCCATCAATCACTGTGGTATCTTCTGAACTGTAATGAAATGGGAGCTAGAGGTCCTATTCTGCAATATCCCTCCTTCCTTAGTATGCAGTTTCAGTTGGCTTAGTGAACCCTAGAGAGATACTGCAGGATTAAGTTGTTTCACCACCAGCTCTTTTTAAACATCTGCATAAAGCCATTGAAAGAAATCATCTGTCAGTTCAAGACGAAATATCATCAGTGTGCCGATGACAGTCATGCTGCTATCCCAGGCTGCAGTGATGATGCTATGGAAATCTTGTCCTAGTATCAAGAGGGTATAAGAATCCCATTGGGGCAAAACAGGCTGAATCTAACCCAAATAAGACGGAGTTACATTTCATTCATCAAGATTCTTGGTCGGCTCCAGTACTGCCTCTTGAGGAGAAGCACTACACCAAAGGCTCTGGTCTGCCACTGGGGGATTCTCCTGGACTCATGTCTACAACTGAAGGAAAGGTAAAAAATGTTGTCAGAAGGGCCTTTTTCCAGCTTTGGCTGATACGCCATTTGCAAGGCCATGGACCACAAGGATCTCACAACTATGACTCACGCCCTCATTACAAATCAGTTGGACTACCATAATGCACTCTACTTGGGTCTGTCTTTGCAAACCATTTAGAAATTGGTTCAAAATGTGGCAGTCCATTTATTGGCAGATATCGGTCACCAAGTGCCAACAGATATTTCAAAGCACTGGCACTGACTTATATGGTTTGGTGCCACCTGCAGGATGCCTTCTCCAACCAGAATCGGTTGGATTGTATGTTCAGTTTAGGAGAAGCACTTCACTGGTTGCTCCCCATGGATACTATTCTCCTGTTTCAACTGCCTGTCTTACAGAAGAGAGACTCCTTGAAAGTTAAGTATGACCCTGTTATTACAGGTTCCAGAAGTTATTTCAGATGGATGGCATTCAGTCATTAGCATCTGTTGCCATATTTGGTATTTTTATTATGTGTTTTTTTATCATGATTATGCAAAATAATAAGTAGGATTATTATTTCATTTTTGTGTTGATTGTTACTGGTTATTGATTATTGTGGATGTGTTAATTGCTTTTGTTGATAATATTTACCATGATATATTAATTATTTATTTAGGATTATTAAGTTCTGAATGTCTATGGCAGATTTGGCAGCATAGAATTGTACTTCCAATCCCACTTTTCCATAATTTGCATAATTCTTGAGATCAGCAGCAATACTATCAAATAATGTTATAAAATAAAACAATTCATAAAAGAAGTAACATTATTTATAAGAAAAAGAAGCCGGAGAACCACCAATATAAACAGATAAAAGTGCCTAGAACAAACTGGTGTTGGATTCTGGCATACCACAGAGATATCATTCTGCACAGAGCAGGCATCACTATGGAAAAAGTCCAACTCTACATCATTGCTAAATGAAATCCTGCTTTCTAATTTTGGATGCAGAACAGCTGAAAGGGCACCTTCTACAAATGTCCTCCTCAGCTTATGTAAAATATAAGGAACTGTATATTCCAAGTAGCACTTCATGTTCAGAGATGTTCCTTATTAGGCAAAGAAAATCCAGCGAGTTCAGATAAGGAAATATAATCTATTTTTTCTCTTAAGAAAAAAATTAATTTGACTGATGGTCAAGGATATTTAATAACGGAAGTGACAAGTTCTGCTCTTAGTTTTTAACATTATACAGAGTCATGTTGTCTTTCAGTGAGTTCCATTTTCATATTGTTATTCTGCTACATAAGAAACATTAGCAGCAATTAAACATTTGCATTTAAGCCTTTTGTTATTATACCTGCTGCCATTTGCCCTTTAATGTTGGGTCTCTGATCGATTGACAATGCCGTTGAATTTGCTGGATGACACCTTGGTAATAAACCATGGAAGAATCATAATTTCCAAGTAGTGCATATTCTCTTCCTTTTTTAGCATTATCACAAATCTCAGCCAAATTCATCTTCTTTGAAAAACCTACAATACAATGTGAAACAAGAAGTAAAAATTAAATTACCCTTTGGCAGAAAAAAACAGTTATTTCACTTAAAACCATAACTGCAATTTTTATTAAAGTGTGTGTTATTATTTTGTTATACTAGTTACGAAAACTATCAATCATTCTAGAGAAGCTTTGCAATCTTTTTCTTCTACTTTTGAAATTTCAGCAAGAACTGCCCATGTATTTCCTACCACTACTGTATATTTAGAACTAGAAATCTGATATTCTAAAATAAAATTGACAGCTATGTTCTTAACACTATATGTTATACTTTTTCTTCATTTTCCCTCTTCCAAATTGCAATGCACACAATACATCTTTAAGAAATGGGTTTTCCAGCTCAATACAGAAAAATCATGGGTTTATAACTAAGAAATTTGGCAAATAGCCATAGTGAGTTCTAGCTCTCTGATTCCGCTATCTCTTTTGATTCACTATTAGTTTTGCTTTTTTATATTTTTGTACTAATTGTATACGGTTAACATTTCTAGGGAATCACTTTGAAATTTTTTCAATGAAAATGCTAGGTGCTAACACAGTTTCTGATGGGGGAAAGGTAATCTTCATAAATAAAATATGTGAATGACCTACATGTATAAACAATGTATTACATCACCAGGAAATACAGCTGTAACATTCATACATAAATAGAGCTGAATGACAAAGCCTACTAGTTTCCTTCCCAAACTGCTCCATAAAAATAATCTTCAATCTCCTCTAATCCCAGATGTTAAAAAAAAAAAACCTCACAAACTCAAAAGCCAACAAGTTTGGCCTATTTTGTTTGTATATGCTTTAGTCTTCCAAAAAAAGTCTCAAAACATGAGCTGCATGATATTGCAAACAAAGCTGTTTCATTTGAATGTACTAAACTATTAATTGCTGGAAGCTGGCGTCTGTTCAGAACATAATCCAAACAAATTAATTCACTTGAGATACAGCAAATCCATATAGATAGTTTCTCAATGCATTGCTGAAGAAAAGCTGATGTCACCCAATTATTTTTGGTATATAGCGACACATATACAGCATCCTTTACTTAATCCTCCAAGGAAAGATTGAAGGCAAACGAGGTCCAGGCAGAATAACATCATGGCTTCAAAACCTAAAAGACTGGTTTGGACAAAACTCAGCAGCACTTTTTCATGCGGCTGTTGACAAAAATAGGATTGCCAACATGATCACCAACATCCGATCACGGATATGGCACAAGAAGAAGAAGATATGGCAATGCAATTTAACATTACAACTTATGTGATATATCAAGAAACATGCCCTTAAGGATTTGTTCAAGATATTGTTCAAGAACCATCAACCAATACATTCCAGCAAAATATAAAGATTCTCTGTCTCAGAAAGAATATTGTCCATATCAAGAAATGTTCTAAGCCAGGCTGAGGACCCGTTAACCTTTGAGGAATGTGTCAGGGCTGCCTTTCAACAAACACGCTAAGATTAAATTGGATTATTTTATTTATTTACTGGATTACCGAATTTTTTGGAGTATAAGACGCACCGGAGTATAAAACGCACCAAGGTTTTGAAGAGGCAAATTTTTTAAAAAGTAAGTAGGTAGATAGAGGGAGAGAGAGGGAGAGAAAGAGAGAGAAATACAGTAGGAAGGTGGGGATAGACAGAGTAGGTAGGTAGTTAGATAAAGGGAGAGAGAGAAATACAGTAGATAGGTAGGGAGAGAGAGAGTAGGTAGGTAGGTAGGTAGATAAAGGGAGAGAGAAATACAGTAGATAGGTAGGGAGAGAGAGAGTAGGTAGGTAGGTAGGTAGATAAAGGGAGAGAGAAATACAGTAGATAGGTAGGGAGAGAGACAGAGTAGGTAGATACATAGATAGAGGGATAGATAGAGAGAAATACAGTAGGTAGATAGGGAGAGAGGGTAGGTAGGTAGGTAGGTAGGTAGGTAGGTAGGTAGGTAGGTAGGTAGGTAGGTAGGTAGGTAGG